GTAGCCGTTATTGCGGTCCCAAACTGTAGCTGCTGCAACCTCTCTGACGCGATGGGAACGATGATCCTGCCGCACGGCTTCCACCTCCAGTGCATGGGTCAAGGCGTCCTTAAGCGTTTCGTGGTGCCCGAGCCTTACAGCAGCTCTGACTTCAAGGTCGCGGATGCCGTCGATGAATGTATGCTTTTTGAACCAGCTTCTCCACCTCAAGGGCCCACTGCTGAAGATTTTCGTTACTGCGTTGCACGCGATCTTTGAGCTGCGCACGAAAGACGTGTTCCAGGTGAGCGTCGCCATATCTCGCCTCCAATGCCTCAAGGAGCTGCTCGTAAGTCACTTCCTTACCGAGAGCTTCCAGAACAGTTAAGTCCTGGTCGCGCAGGCCTAGGGTGAGAGCAGTCATGGCCTGACTTTTATTCCAGCCGTTCGCCTTAATGACAGCCTCGAATTGAATTTTGTAGGCCGACCAGGAAGAAGTCCCGTCGAACGGCGGAACGTTGAATCCACGTAGCGAAGGTGTTGTAGCAACCACGGGAGCTGTAACTCCATCCCCAAGTTTGAGGTCGTCCAGCGTTTTCTTCACGTTGTCAACCCGATTGTACACTTGGTCGATTCGGGTTTCAGCTTCCGACAGGCGGTTGTCATATTGAGCAACCTTATCCTTCACCTCCCTTATCTCTTTCCCGAAGTTAGCGTGAAGGTCCTTCATGAGAAGTATCTGCTCTTCCTTATCGCGTTTGAGCTGCTCTTCCAATCGACGGCCCTGTTCCTCCTGTTGGCGGGCCTGTTCCTCCTGTTGGTGGGCCTGTTCCTGCAGCATCATCATCAGAGCACTTAAGTCAGGTGCTGCAGATGCAGGAGCTGCTGACGGGCCGGCATCCGTGGTCGGCAACTGGCCCACCCACGTCTGTGACGTTGCACCACCAAATCGTCTCTAGTCCGTCTCCTGTTGGCGTTGACTTCGGGTACGGATACCCTCCGTGTCGTCTTTAGGTAAAATCGGCATATTTGATCTCACTTCTGACACCAATTGTTACGAGCTTGGAGTTCCAGACAATTAAAACTGCCGATTGAATTACCAAAATTGATACTTTAATTACACAACACTAATTACAATCTAAAACCACACTAATAATAAAACACAATTGCACTACTGATCACTCAAATTCGCTTCGAAGTATTCTCTTGTATCGCCAATTCAATACTGACTTGGTCGTAGTCTATACCGGCCTTATATAGGGTCTCAGATAGTTTCCGGAACCTTCTACTGTAGCGACATCTAGAATGTTCGAGTACACATCGGTCCCGAAATTTCTGGAAGGATCTTGACTCTCCTAGTTCTGCTACTCGACACTAGAGGGCGCTGGTGTAACTAGTATTACCATGTACAAGACATTAATAGTGGCGCGCAACAGTATCGTCCTTTAATTTCAATTAAAAATGTAAATATTGATCGAGTTACTGAGATTAGAAACTTAGGAATATTGATGGATGAAGCATTACACTTCGAAAAACATATAATAAATAACGTTAAAAATTGCTTTTACAGATTAAAAGTGCTATACCAGATAAGGGATGTATTAAAGACGGAAGTCCGTATCAGATTATGTGAGTCCTTGATACTGTCCAAATTCAATTACGCAGATGCAGTAATAGGTCCAAGACTTCTCAACCGTTCAAAGAAACTTATACAGCGCGTACAAAATGCCTGTGCCCGTTTCTGTTTTAAAATACCTCCCCGTGCACATGTTACACCTTACATTAATAATGCGAAAATGCTTAAAATGGATTACCGTTGGCAGTTGCATTTTGCTACGTTGTTGTTTGGTTGTATCAAATACAGGGCACCGTCTTATCTCTATGAAAAATTGCGGTGGGCTCGAGACAACGTCTTAACAAATGTAGTGACAAGAGCTTCAGCGTACGGGTTGCTTCTGCCCCAACACCGCTCCGCTGCGTTTCGAGGCAGTTTTCGATATGCAGCAACCAAGTGTTGGA